GAAGAGGGGAAGACAGACAGACAGACGAAATAATAAGAACTTATAGGGACATTATACGACATACAGGAATGGGTTAACAGAGCTCTACGGGGACAGGGAGAAGAGGTCCACAGGGGTAATAAATACACATAATACATTAACGGATTATACAACAGAGCTCTATAGAGAGATAGAGAGAGAGAGAGAGAGAGAGGGAGGGAGGGAGGGAGGGAGAGAGAGAGAGAGAGAGAGACAGAGAGAGTTCTCCTTGTGAATGTCTGTTTTGGGTGGGAGGGGCGTTTATTCAATACCTTAGAGTAGCAGCACAACTGTTCACTACCTGAAAATTACAAAGTTCTATCTGCTAAATACCTCGTTTTCAGAAACTTGACCTAAAAATTCTTGAATTTCACTTTATGTCAAGCTTTTTCGAATGCATTTCTGTGAATATCTTGATAACAACTCTGAATTTTCTTACAATTTTGAAAGAGCACGGTTAGAGCATTTGCTTTCTGACCTCATGGTCTTAGTGACTCAAAACAGCCAAAAATGTCAGATAAAACTTTGTAATTCCGAGGTAGCGTGTTGTAACTCGGGCTTTCAATTTTTACAGGAGGAACGAAAAAAAGAGGTTTTTCCCAACTATCTTCATCAACAATACTGCCGTAAGCTGACAAAATTACCCTTTTTTTACCTGTCCCCGTCGTTTTATGCAAGAAAAATTCTGAAATTATGCAAAGTGAGCCCAAAATGTGAAATTATGCGATTCTGTTAATTTTAACAAAGAATGATAAAGGAAAATAATCAGAATTATGCAAAAAAATGATCAAATTTTGCTAAATTATGCAGGGTGCTTAAAATCATGGGGACAGTTTTGTTCACAGCAGTTTAGAGAAAAAGAGTTTTTTTATCAGCGTGTAACCATTGAAAAATGGAGTACTTCTGAAATATGAATTCTAGTTTATTCAAAAGCAAGTCCCAGTTTCTTTTTGATTTTTCACACAAGTAGGGAAACAGATCAGGTTTTCGATTTGGCAAATAAAAATTTTTGGGGGCAAAATAAAAAAAGGCGTTTGTCAGCTTACGGCGGGATACTGGGTACCAAGAATTTCAATTTTTTTTTTGCCGAAGTGATTGTTGCTGTAGTTTTCTCTTTTGTTTGTTCTGTTGTCAGCTTTGGGGAAGTGTTTGGAGCCTCAAAACCCACCAACGAAGATTACGCTGATTTCTGGGCCGCCCTGCGATACAATGATGGAGACAGAGCAGCGTACAGGTGAGAGTTTGGATTTGTTGTTGGAAGTTTTTGTTGTTGTATCTTTGTTTTTTTTGGATAGGGGGGAGGTTATTTTTTAATATATTTTTTGTTGTTGAAGGGGAACCTAAACAAATGGGTAATGGGAAAAGGTCAGGGAAATGTAGCTGTTTTAAGAGCATCCGTGCAAAGGGATGAATGGAGAACCATGATTGCAGATGTCTGTCGCAGATCTGGCACTGGATGATTGGGAAGGGGAGGGGGGGGGAGGAGGAGGGGTCTATGTTGTTACAGAAGAAAAGTAATAAAACGTATTTCAATTCAAACTGTTTATCATGTAGACTTAAATGCTAAACATAATGTGGGTTTATATTTCAAAATTGAACAAGACAATTATACTGAAAAGGGGAGTTTTCATGTTTGCAAAAAATACATGAAAATCCACACTCCAAATACCACCAACAAAAATCTATTCCTTATATCACAAATTCATCGCTCAAAGGTTTAGTATTACATCTTTTCTTCAGGCTGTGAAAATTTCATGAAGATTGGACAAACAATGGTGGAGTTATTTAATAAAGTATGTAGAAAAACCACATTTCGAGAAAATGGGCGATTAAGAAAAATAAAAGATTGACTTTATGAGGAAATGATGGGGACAATATGAAAATTTGGGGGTAGCGTTTTGAAACTCTGACAATGAAGTAGGCTTATTTGTCGAGATTTTCTGTTCAGAAAAATGAATATATTCTGAGCAGCAGTGTCTTTTTCAGAAGGTAAGTTTAGTTCAATTTTAGTAAGGTTTTACGGTGCCCGCAACTGCCTAAGGTCATATGAGCGCCAAGGGGTGGATGTCAACAGGGAAGTCTAAATGGGGAATCAACATTACTCTGCTCACCTCTCTAGCCTCAACAGCACAAAGTCTGCTTCGACAATCAAGGCATCCTGGAAATAACTATTCACACGATATTGACAAACATATAAAAGAATAGAGGCAAAAATGACGATAGTAAGGATAAGGAAAGAAAAAGCAGCAGTTCCCCCTATGTTGTTCCGGCACTGTATGAGCATGACATTGATGAATCAGCCCATTTACAATTCTACTGTGCATAACATGTTAACATCCACCCTTTGGAAATGGCCTAAAGACATTTAAGTTAGTAAGGGGGGAGGGGGGGGGGCTCAGAAGGTAAGATATGATGTTTATCACTAGCTTTTATGAATATGATCTAAAATTTGATTAAATGGCTTAGTTAGTTAGTATTGCATGTTTGAGGCAAATCTTTTCAGAATTAATATCCCTGTACTTCTCTTCCTCCTTGCAGAATCATCAACTTTTTAAGAGAAAGACAAGAATTCAAGGGGAGATGGGTCGGAGCGCTGCAGTCCACAGATCTCTCAGGTACAGTAACATTTGAATATATTTTATTTTCCAGATACCTTAACAGTCTGAATCTTTTATTATTATTTTTTTTTTTAGGTACAATAACTATCTGAATCTTGTTCTTCTTCATGAACCGTTGTTGTTTTTTCTCACTTACTTTACTTTACTTTTCCGATCCAGCGGCCATTTGGGTTCTATAGCCCTTCGGCCTGTCAATATGGCAAAGAATTTACAGGTTTTATACAGCTGTGTTTTGTCGCTGTATAGAGTGTTTCCGATATCTGGGGAGGCAGGTAAGTAGATGCTACGCTGGTCGCTAAGTGCAGGGCAGGTAAAGAGGTGGTGTGGTACTGTTTCACTCTTAAAACTCACTTAAAACTGCAACATTCCTTTCTTTTAGTAAACTGATTCAAAACTCCATAATGTTACTTCTGGAAATTCTTTATGTATCCCAAAATACAGAGTGATCACATCAAATGTTAAAATAAAGTTGTGGGTTGTTGGCGGGCTGCTTGATGTGGCTTGCCTCTTCTTTCCCTGTCTATTGTCTTTATGCACCCCGCATAATTTAGCAAAATTTGGTCATTTTTTGCATAATTTCTGATTATTTTCCTTTATCATTCTTTGTTAAAATTAACAGAATCGCATAATTTGACATTTTTGGGATAATTTTGCCTAATTTCAAAATTTGTCTTGCTTAAAACGACGGGGACTGTCATATGTTACTCTTTAGTAAGACCTCTAATCCTCAGTACTTATATGACTTTTTTGTGTTGCAAGTGCCACAAAACTCATACTAAAAGTAAAACTAAAACTAAACTAAAATTAAGGAAGTAAAGGTTTCCGTTTAATAACTATTAATAACTGCTGACAAAATGTTTTGTTCTATTTTTAGTCCTCATGCTGTACGGCCCTGCTGATCCAGTCAACCCGCCCAGTTTTGCCGCTCATTTCAGGTGACACAACTGTTGTGTTCCTAAGACTTCAACATAAGTTAAGGACCACCTTGACTGACAGCCCTGATTTAGAAAAAAAGACAGCAAGGAATGTTTCAAAATTTTGTTCTCTGAAAGTGTTAATGGGTTACCAATGCGTATTGCAAAGTTTCCTAAAGTGGCAAAACCACCATGTGATGCATGGAAATCCTCGGGAAATTTTAAGCAAATTTGCTGTTTTTAATTGACTTTTGTGCCACACCACGGACATTCCTCAGTTTAATTTCTGGTGCGCATGATAAACGGACGTACGGTCTCGAACTGTACTCACTTTGGTGGCAATATAAGCCTCTGTTTGCTCCAAATCCAGTATCGCATCAATGTGCCATGGAGACGAAAGCTGAAAGACTTTGATAGTGCCAGAGCTATGGCATGGCTGCAGGATGGAGTTGGAGCCCGAGAAGTTGCCTGAAGGCTTGCAGTGTCACACTCTGTCATTGTCAGCCTGAGGCAGCGCCATCAAGCCACTAGATCAGTCCAAGAACGCCCACGTGCAGGTCGACCCAAGTAGATCACTAAGAGTGTTTGGAAGTGGTCCTTAACTTATGTTGAAGTCTGTACATTTTGTATCTCAGTAACTGGGTCACATCCTGATATTTTGCAGTACAGTGGAGTCCGCTTAACACTTTGCCATCATATTTTGGGGAAAATCCAAAGGAACTGGGCGGTAACCATCGCCAATCGGCGAGATGAGGCGGTAAACATCGCCAATCGGCGAGACGAGGCGGTAAAGTGTTAAACCAAACACAGTGCATCCAAAGGAACAGCGGTAAACCAAAGTGGGTAGTTGGAGGGTGGTCTGGTGTGGTTTGCCTCTTCTTTCCTATCAAACATCTATCGTCTTTATCTCCCCTCCTTCTTTTTTGCATTTGCTACTCTATTGTAATAGCTCTAATCTTCGGCACTTATAAATATGACCTTATTGTGTTGCAAGTGCCGCAAAACTCTTATTAAAACGAAGGTAAACCAAAAAGCAATAAAATCCACAACTTTTCTCCTTCTAAACTGTACTTAACAAGTGGCGTCGGTGGCCTAGTGCAGTTGGCAGGAAATTTTGAATTTTCCCCGGGTGGCTACAGAAGCCTACTCTTATCGATTTAAGACCGCCGACTGAAAAGTTTTCTACTCTAAAATTGTCTCCTTTCGCCTACTTTCCTGTAGTAGTCTTCTTTCGTCTCCTCTTTCTGCCCCCACCCCCTTGCCTCCTTTGCCCCCCCTCCTCTGGGCTCCTGACTCTTTCTGCAACCTTTCTACTGCTACTCTTTGGCTCCTTCTTACTGCTGTCTTTCAGCCAGACCCCTGATCTTCTGGTAGGTAAGATCTACACCTAGCCTTCTTGGACAAGGGCGAAAATCTCGGAGAGCCTGTGTGCAAGTTGCGCAAGTTAAAGATCCCTTGGTGGTCTAAAATCGATAAGAGTAGGCTTCGGCCGTCACCCGGTCAAAATTCAAAATTTCCTTCTAACTGAAAATGTTTAACGAGTCCTGCTCTCTCTTTTGACCTTATGCAGTTGCGAGCGCCGTAAAAGACTTCCAAAAAAAAAAAAAAAAAAGAAAAAAGACAGACATCCACCTGTCTAAGATAACCACTTTTCCCCTAGGCAATGGGTGGCCGTCTATTACCATCAGGTTGACTTTTTTTATTGATATTTCCTCTTCTAAACGTGCAGTGGTATGACCTTACACAGTTGCGAGCACCGTAAAACTCTTACTAAAACTTAACTTAGCTTACTTTTATCTTTCTGATCCAGCGGCCATTTGAGTTCTAGCCCTTCGGCCTACTCTTATTAAAGCTAATCTTCTATCTTTGTGCTTTTGGTCATATGTTTCTCAGACTCTCAAGACAAAATTGTTCTCGTACTTTCAAACATCTATTTATGCTCCTCAGAAAAGTTGTACCGAGGCACAAACTTGTGACCTTGGCTGACAGCGTGGGACATTATCCTCAGTGGGAGGACCCGGAGACCGTGGGCCGAGAGTTCCTCAAGTTTATCCAGTCTCTGGAGACTCAGACACGCTCTTGATTCTTGTGATGTAGTAGCAGCCTGTCACCTTAGGTCATTGTAAATGGGCTGATTTTTCAATGTCAAGCTCATACTGTGCCGTAACAACGTAGGGGGAACTGCTGCTTTTTTTTCCTTCATCCTTACTATTGTCATTTTCCTCTACTTCTTTTGTATGTTTGTCCCTCTTTTGTGACCTGCTATTTCCAGGGTGTCTTGATAGTCGAAACAGACTTTTTGCTGTTGAAGTTAGAGAGGTGGGCAGAGTAGACCTGATTCCCTGTTTGGACTTCTCTGTTGACATCCACCCCTTGGCGCTCATATGACCTTATGCAGTTGCGAGCGCCGTAAAACCTTACTAAAACAATTAAAAACTATTTTGTCTAGCGTGCCTTTTTACTTAAGTACACTTTGGACAAAATAGTTTTAATGCGACGAACTGTCAACGTTTGAAATGATTCTCTAAAAAGTCGAATTTGGGTTCATGAGCGTTAGAAGTGAGAATTATGCTTTGAGCACACATTTTTAAAAAAATACAGTCGAAACTGTCTGAGAAGACCACCTGTTGTCAGAGAGGAAGGCGGCTGTCTTACATAGTGTCATTATCTACATAATATTCAACAGACTTCAACATAAGTTAAGGGCCACTTTGACACACAGCCATGATTTTTTTTTTAATCTGACAAAAAACACTTCAAGGAATGCTTTAAAATATTTTGCTCTGAAAGTGTTAATGGGTTACCAATGCGTACTGCAAAGCTTCCTAAAGGGGCAAAACCACCACATGCAGCACGGAATTCCTCGGGGAATCTTAGCCAAATTTGCTGTTTCTTTCTTCTTCTTCCTCGTTCTCGGCTGTTTTCAATCATCTTGTGTAGGAAACCACAGACTTTCCTCAGTTAAAATTTCTGGTGCATGTCATAAACGGACGTACGGTCTGGAACTGTGCTCAATTTGGTGGCAATATAAGCCGCCCTTTCCGCAAAATCCAGTATCGCATCAACCTGCCACTAAGACGAAGGCTGAGAGACTTTGATGGTGCCAGAGCTATGGCTTGGCTGCAGGATGGAGTTGGAGCCTGAGAAGTTGCCAGAAGGCTTGCAGTGTCACACTCTGTCATTGTCCGCTTGAGGCAGCGCCATCACGCCACTGGATCAGTCCAAGAACACCCACATGCAGATCAATCCAAGAAGACCACTCAGAGTGTTTGCAAGTGGTCCTTAATTTATGTTGAAGTCTGTATTTGTGAAAGTTCGTCACTTTGGTCGCATAAAACTTCCAACCACTTAACTTTCGAATTTGAAAAAATTAACAGATATATTATATATATATATATATTTGGAGAGATTTTCTTTTAGTCACAACACAACGTTTTATGTTACTGTTGTACGTTGTACTGTATTGTAAAGCGCTCAAAGCATGTGTACTTTAATCGGGGTGGAGCGCTATAAATGTCATTTATTATTAGGTCTATTTATTATTGACTTACACAGGAGGCCGTTGGAGCAGATATGACGACCTTACATAACCCACATACACATCCCCCCCCCTTCCCGTTACTTCTAGACACATTTGCTTTGTGAACTGTCTTTCAAGTACTCCTTCTATACAACATGATTATACACAAGTACTATGAGGTGATATTTTACATGTTTTTATTATTATTTCTGCTCTTATGTTGCGGTTTTTTGTTTTTGGTAATACAGTTGTAAGTGTAAGATCAGCAGGTTAGGGTTATAGTGTTGTAAAAGTAAAAGCAGGCTGTTGGGGAAAGTTTTACGAGGTTCTGCTTTTTACTTTTAGTAAAAGTTTTATGGCACTTGCAACACAATGAGGTCACATAAGTGCCGAAGATTAGTCAACACAATGAGGTCATATAAGTGCCGAAGATTAGACTAATCTTCGGCACTTATATGACCTCATTGTGTTGCAATAGAGGTGTTACAAGAGAGTAATAAACACAAAGGAGAAGGAAAGAGAAGGAGATAGTTTTTGATAGGAAAGAAGGTTCCGCTATAACTTGTTCATATCTGACCCTGTTCTTGTGGGCGTCCATTCTAATAATAATCAAAGTTTGTCTGTCAGTGTCTGATGATGATCAATTCATCTAAAGAGTACAATATACTGAAATAAGGATTAAGATGATTTGTATCTTCTGTTTTGGCAAATGATAGCAATTCTGGCAGAAATATGATCTCTCTCTCAGTAAATAGGAAAAGTATTAACATATAATATATATATACAGTCGAAACTGTCTAAGAAAAAAAAGGCTGTGTTAGACAGGTTACCTTCTTGCACAGTATTATTATAATGTAAAAAATATGCAAAGTCTGCAAAGGAGGAAACTGGAAGTGGCCATTTGTACAGGTCATTGTTTCGTACAGGTGGCTTTTAAAGCAGTTTCAACCATATGTGTGCACTTTTTATATGACATTCCAAATACAATTTTTTTCACTATTAATTAAACCTTTCTAACTGCCATCAGACCTTTTATGCAATAGTCCATGTACTAAAAGGAAGCAGAAATACACACTGTTAATATATGTGAGGCAGCGTGGTGAAATCAGGCGCTTGTCAAAATAACGAAAGTAAAGAAACTTACTCTTTTCCGCTGGTTTGGCAATTCTTATCAAAATTGTGTTTTATAACTCAACCCCTTGTATGTCCGTAAAAGAACCCATTTCAGTGTGAATTATATTGAAAAACGTTGATTAAAGGCATAAATAGTGTAAATTGTCTGTTTCCACGGACTCTGAGGCTTTGTAAATAACCAATCTTTGGCAGCCATTTTCTCACTAATTTCACGTCTGAAATCTGGTGACTCCACCTCATTCAATCGCAAATATCCCAACATGTACTCAAGATAAATGGTTAATTCTTTCATTGAAAGCAATGCAAATGAACAAGCTTTACGGTGATACCAATAACTCTTCATGCCCAAAAATTGACGAGCGCCTGAATTCACCATGCTGCCTGACTGACTCACAGATAGTTTGTGAGTATTGATGATTTTCACTGCTCAGTTTGCTCCTGCTAAGTAGCTGCTATACTGCATGAGAAGAAAATTAGGGATACAAAATTATCAATATTTCTGTGGCATATCTGAGCACATCACATTTTTCTGGGTCTTTTTTTTTTCAGAGAGGGTGAGGGTGGGGTGGTTACAATAGTTGAACTGCAGAGTATAGAAATAGAATAGTAATAGATTACTCTGTTTTATACCCTACAGCACTTCCCCCCCCCCCTCAGGATTCTGAGAAATTGTCTAGTTTTGGTTGTGAAGAAGTTGGCAAGTCTGCGATAGACAGCGGGTATTTATTTATAAGGATGATTGCAGAGACATAGAATAAAAGTGGGCCTGAACTGAGCAGGACTGCCCAATTTATGACAGATACCACACTTTCATGACAATTAGCAGGAGACCAGGCAAAGTGGATATCAACATCAATGGATCCCAACTAAAACAAAGCAGAGAATTCAAATACTTGGGCAGCATTTTCACAGAAAATGGAAAATTAGATCGAGAGATAGAGACTAGATGCCAGAGAGCTAACGCAGTCAGCTACCAACTGGGCCCTCTCCTAAAACATCCCGATTCCCATGAGCACCAAGGCGAAGCTCATCAACGCCATTTTCCTTCCAACGCTCACATATCAGTGCCAGACATGGACTCTAACAAAAGCCCTAGAGAGGAAACTGGTCACATGCGAGATGAAATGCTTAAGAAGAGCGGTCAACAAAACAAGAAGAGACAAAATTAAAAATGAAGTCATAAGGGACACCGTGGGAGCAACACCAGTCCTACCACACATTGAAAAACAAAAGGTCAAGTGGTTCGGACACCTTACGCGGATGCCCTCTAACCATCCAGCTCTGAGAGCATACAACACTAAATATTCTGGATGGAGAGCCAGAGGAAGACCAAGGCGACGATGGAGTGAATCTGTGGCAGACACCCTTAAAGATCATGGGATGTCCCTCCTACAGGCCACACGACTTGCTGCAGACAGACACCTGTGTCTCCCCGCGACACCCCAGGGTACAAGCGGAAGAAAAAAGTAAAAGTAAAGTAAGTACCACACTTCCAAGTGTGATGCGATCGAGAAGAAGAAGAACGAAGAAAAAGAGAGGACTCTCCTTTTTATGTCACTTGGGTCATAAAAGAAAAAAAGTCCACGTATATACATATAGTTACAAAAAATATATTTATGGTCAAATTCATGGTATTTAATGATAGAATAATATTGTTCTCAGTTTATTTTTCACAAAAACAATCATCTATCAAAATAAAGAACAAGAATATCTACAGTATCCATCATCATAATGTTGTAAGTTTATGATACGTACAGCCTTTGTGTGGATGTGTGTTTATATACAAGATGTGTATGTGCATATATATAATATATATATATATATATATACAAATATATATATATATATATATATATATACAAATATATATATATATATATATATATATATATATATATATATATATTATAAATATATCGATGGCTTAGTGCAAGAAGTGATTATATCCACTTTTGGTCAAAACGGAGTTATCGATATGGGTAGTGATATTTTAAGCCTCTCTTTTACCTCTGTAAATATATATATATTTTTTTGGCCGTAGCTTAATTCGGTGTAGAAATATTATTAATTAGCGTTTCTTTTTTGACTATGCAATAAAACTTTCAACATTATCCAAACTTGTTTTTCTGGAAACTGTGAAACGTGAATATTTTATATAGTCACTTCTTGCGCTCAGCCGTCAATATACGCATGTCCCTGTGGTTTTGTGCACCCCACATAATTTAGCAAAATTTGATGTTTTTGGCATAATTTCTGCTGATTATTTTCCTTTATCATTCTTTGTTAAAATTAACAGAATCACATAATTTCCCATTTTTAGGCTCAGTTTGCGTCATTTCAGAATTTTTCTTGCATAAAACGACGGGGACAGATATGCGTGTTGGTTCCTGTCAATTTTAGTCGATGTGTCTGAGAGAAGTAGGTCGCTGCAGCTAATACTCTGTGCGTGGCCTAGTCTCCTTCTAATACTGCAGGATACGTGGTAAAAAAATGAATACAAAACTTGAGCAATACACTGTAGAGAAATCA